AGGGCGGAAAAATGGGAATCCGACCCGGGGACGAAATTAATGGCCGGAGGATGACGCGAGACTGGGGCAGGGGAAGGATATAATGGAAATCGCGTGGGATCAGAGGTCTTGTGAACGGATGAGCTAACCGATTGGCTTCGACTTACAGGCGTCGTGGTACGCCGTACCCCGGTTGAACGAGTTAGCTTGCCTTTAGGGGTGGTGGCCTTCAGCCTCTGTGTAGCTGGAGTCGACCTTGAAGGTGTCGTAGGATGCTTAGTTACTGTGATTGGTGCTGAACCTGGCCTCTCTCGGCCCTTGTAAGTGGAGACAACAACACTCAGCTCCTGTTTGTTTGGCTTTCTAGATTTTACCTTGGGCTGAACCAGTGGCGAGTTGAGGTTACCCTGTGAATCTTGGGAGGCGCTGCTTTCTCGTGACGGGTTTGATGTAGCCCTGGGAACCTCTCCGCCCTCGTTATCAACAGAAAAATTCACCTGCACTTGGTGCTGCTCACCCTCCCTCAACCACTGTGTCCTCCTTTCATTCTCAAAGACAGGCCCATCAGACTTGAATCTCGATAAGGTGTCAATGGAACGAACAACATTTGACGAAACTCTACTCTGGGGAGCCTCGATACCGTTTTCCTTTAGCACCATATACAAGCCATGGAACCATTGCAAGAGATGCAAATTAGCTTGAAAGTTACCATTTATGATCTTGGGTAGATCATCAGTGAATATATCTGGTTTTGGAATACCATTCCGATGTAACGCCTCCTGAATCAGCTTTAAATTGATAACTGCCTCGAACTCGTGATGAGCAGGAATCTTCGCCTTGGTGATTAACGGTGCGTGTAGAATAGGTAACATGGTGGGCAATAAGAGAACGTAAGGTACGCCGTTACCACACTGCTCAACTTTTTTAATTGGAGTCACAATACCTTTATTTGGGAAGGTGCAGGGCAGATAAGTGTTAATCCATTGAAGAAGCTCCGCCCGTGACAACGTGGATGGTGTGATGTCTAATTTCTGATGCATTTTCCCCAGCAGTAAAATATTGTATCTTCTTATTTGTTTTGTTTTCGTCGTCCAAGACTACAAAGACGCGATTTCTATGAGATACGCCTAAATATTAATAAGATAAAAAGGTGCATGCAGTGAGAAGAATTTAAACTACCTATAACCCAATGTGTTAGTGTGTTTTTTAATCTTGTAAATACTGATTAATCCCTATATTCACATAATGTAATGTGTCACAGTGTTTCTCCACATTAGGAGATGTGTGAACAGGAAAAATGCCTTTAATGCTATTTTTAAGGGGAGGATAAAATCAAAATATCCCCTTTAAGATATCTTTCGCCTTGAAAAGCGACTCTTTACTAAAAATTGAAAAAGGTAAGACTTGCAACAGCTGCGAAAGGTAGTCTTATCTTCTCCAGTGCATTTATTAGTTTAATAAAAACAATAAATCATATTCCGGTACTTCATTCCAGTATATCAGAAAGGTGGAAAAGGTAAAAGTAGGAAAAGAAAAGTAGGATAAAATGTGAATAGAAATCCATTTCACTATCCTCTATCCCTTGTTCTTTCTTCCTCAGTTCGGAGTCTTTTTTGGTACTGAACCCACTCAACTGGATGACACCGCGCTGCATGCGCAAGCCAGTACTTTTGCCTACTGAAACGCCCAAGACATCCGTCGAAGGGGCACACATATGAATGGTGTGTCACTCTTTTCAATGTAGAATTTGCTAACGCCTCTGCCCGACTCCTAAGCCCTAAGCTCCATTTCATCCCAAAAACATTGTCATCTCGGCTTTTATTAACATCTTCACTACCATAGCGTCGCAGTTCTCCGCCGTTGGAACTAACAACCCTCCTCTTTTTTTTTGAGCTCCTCAAAGATGTGCTAACAGAAGGAAATATATGTGTAGACATGTTAAATGCGGTAGGACAATCATTCTGATGGCATTCACAGGATTCTGTGGGAGTACCTGGCTGGGCAAAGTCAACCTTTCCACCGCCAATCAAATAACTTCGACTATTTTCGCTTACCCATGTAGCTTTTCGATCATCCACTTGTAACTGTACTTGTTTTGCACGCATCCGTTTAAGGAGTATTCTACGCGCTCGTTTGTTCCCACCTCGTCGTCTTTTAAAATCAAGGTGTAAACAATCATCTAAAAGATCCCCATAGTCCCTCTGGTGCTCAATCCCAGTATCCTCCTTAGCCCTTTTGGGAGAAGATCGGCCTTCAGGCACACAGTTTAAAGAAACAGAGCTTGAAGTATCGACACTACTTACATACGCCCAGATAAACTCATCTTCACCACTTTTCCCCTCCCCATTATCCTCATCCATTTCTTCTGGTAAGGCAAGGCCATACCTTTCTTCATACATGTTACTTTCACTCGATGAAGACGATATGTTAGCATTATTGATAAATTTCAAACCAACACTCTCAGTCAGTTGGTGTGCGTATGTGAACTCCACTTTGCGGTTACTTCCTACCATACCAGGATTAATCCTGCCAGCATCATCACCATCAACAAGAACGTCAGTGAGGAGATCTGCGTGAGCATCATCACGAAAAGGACAATAATATTGCTGATGCCGCCTCAATTTTGAGCGACTGCTCACCTCCAGTTCGCAATCTTTGCAAACAAATATCGGTTTGGGTATAGTGTCCAGCGGTGAGGATTTAGACAGAAGATCGGAAGGTGTGCTGCCCATAGAAGTTGGGCAGTGCGCTACTTTGCTATCAATACTCTGTGAATCTACAGAAACTGGTGGTTGGTTTGGAAAAGAAGTGTGTTCAGTCGCATTTTCAATCTTGGCAGCTAGCAGACCTTTGCGCCGGGAGCATCTTCGTTCGTGTAGTAGTCTAATCATGAGCCAAGAAAAACACCGGCCACAATAATGGCAAGTCTCTACATTATTTTTGTCTTCGGGTGGAGAAAGATACTTTGGGCCGAGATTAGCCAATGTCGGTTGACTGGAATATGGATTCAATGAAGTTCCTAGCATACTGAAAGGTTGCTCCATCGTTTTTTGAACCAATGACTCCGGGCACGGAATGTCCTCTCCATCCACCAAAAATGAGTTGTACAGTTCATTACGCACCTCAATACCACCTTCCTTCGCGCTCTCCATAGTGCGAGGAGAAACAACGACGGATGAGTGATCTACATCTTTTGAGGCGTAGGTGGAGTCAACCATCAGCGGATGTACAAAACGAATATGCCGTCGCATGTTAGGTTTCGTGGTGAATCCCGCACCGCAATAACGGCACTTGTACGGACGTTCATGGGTATGGATAAGAAGATGTCGACGGTAGTTGCTGCATATGCCGCTGTAGCTCCGGTTTCCGGTGAAACGCTTCTCACAAAAAGGACATACAAGGGTGGCGATGTGCACGTCTTCCAATACGTACCGCGGTTCCCCCTCTAAGCTGTCGACAGAAGACGAGCTCATCCTCTTAGGTTTTTTTTACAGAAACCTGTAAATGCACCAGTGGAAAGTATATTATCTTCAAGTCTTTGGCCTATTCCCCTTTGATTATTATCTTGCGTCTCGCAAGTTGTACATTAAGTCTAATTTTTCACACCGAAATTTAGAAGAAAAAGTGCAATCTTAAACTGGTGGCATACATTAACGTACAAGTTTCATACACAAAAACCTACTCAATATAAACCAAATTACATTAACGCACATTGGCAAACTTAATTCATCATTTATAAAATTTTAGTTACTTATCGATTAGCACGTTGCTTTAAAGGTTATAAAAAGACAAAAATCAAACACCTCTAAAATTTTTTAATCTGTTAAACTTATATTATTAATTTGTGTGTACTATTAGCGTTTCATATGCTTATCAACTCATCGCATGAAGCACATCACTTCCTGTCATGTGGGACAGGTTTGTGCACAACTTTCGAGCCTCCTCTACGATAGCGGCGTCACGATCCTCAGTGAGTTCCAACACTGTTGGTATCATCTCAGCCATTAAACGTGAAGCCAACTCCTCACCACCGTCCGTGTAAATGCCGTCCAAACACACGATTGACATGCGGCGCACATGTCGATTGGGGTGACGCAACCCCCGAACCAGCTCTGACTGCGTTTTACTCTGAAGCTTATTTGAATTTAAACAAGCAAAGAAGGCGCGCACAGCGGGAACAACCCCGTGCTGCGCTCTGTACGTGAAATCGTGCACGTCATCTGCAAGGTATGCCAAGTTCGTGAGTTGGTGAACTAGCACTGGCATAAGGCTGTTAAATACCTCTGTGTTGGCAAAGTAGATGTTCAACGGTATGCTGTAGTCATAGTCAGGACCTGGTGTTTGTGCAAGAGATATGCGGCGCACGCTATCGAGTGCGCTTTCTAACAACAAGCTAATCAAGGATGACATTGACTTGTGGCCCATCCCACTGGATGCGCAATACCTACTTAGTGTTGCTACAATGCAAGGAAGTGCGACACCGTAGCCAAACTCCATAATCGACCCAAGTAATTCCAGTTGATGGTTCAACAAGGTGTAAAAAAGAAGCCATCGGTGCAACGTCGTGCGCGAAACCGACACTCCATTCGCATTGTCAGAAACCATTTTATCGGTCAAGCTGCCTGTAGCCGTGTCCGAGTCTATGGTTATGCTCGATTTCATAAATGAATCTAAATCACTGCCAAAGGCCCACTCGGTTACTATGCGTAGAAGCTTCGTGCAGCGTTTTGCCTTGAATTTCAGGAAGAATGCAGTGAAAGCCTCCAGTACAGGTTTAATAATGTCGTGAGGTGGGAAGACAGATATCATAGCAAGAGAGTGGAAAGCAGTTAGCCAAAAGTTTCCTTGCACAGTTGTGTCATCCATCAGGGAACTCATGTGCATTAACTCTTCCTTTCGCAAATTACGTATCCTGCTCTCTACTCGGGTGAAGAACATATGGTAAGAATGCGTGTTAGGGAGCACCCGTAAGATGCAGTGACGACCTGGCAAAGACAGCTTCTCCTTTGTATGCTCCTTTAGTGAACTTGTGTTGGCTGTAATCGAAGGGGACGATGACGAGATGATCTTGTTGGCACTGTAGAAGTGGTCGTCCGTGTTGGAGGTTTCCGCAATCGAAATGCTCCAATTGCTATCGTTGGAAAATCCCTGCAAACACGTTGCACAAGCCCCCAAAAAGAGTTGTGGCTCCACAAGTGCCTCCAGCACCGCTAACACTTCGCTACACAAACTATTTGTTTCAGCGTCATCACAGTTTGTGAGGTGTGTGGCCGCAAATATGATACGTGGAAGGTACGGTTGGCACATCTGCCAACACAGTGGAAAACAACGTATCAGACAGGAAAGCGTCGTGTACCGAAGTAGCGATCCTGCTGCAGAGCGAGCAACCACAGGGGGAAGATCCACCACCTGGTACACAAGGGTCAACGTCACGGCCTCCAGGATTTCAATGCAGTGTGACGAGGTGCAAGCAAGCCCCATAACCTGAATCACCGTGCCAAGACTAGTGAGCAACAAAACTAGGGTCTCCAACAGGCCCTCCTCAAAGGTGGCCCGAAGCTGGTAAAGCTCCGGCGTGGGCGAAGTAGTCGCCTGAGAAGCGGCAGCTGTGGTAGTATTGAGCACAGAAGAGAGGCTTTGGGCCACGTTGGGAATCCAATTGACGCAGACATTCGTCACGAATTCGTGAACTAGCTTCACACCGGCCTTATTGCCCAGGAGTTTAGCAAGAAGCTCCTCTGTCATACGCTTACTACGGTTGGCATTAAGCAATGTCTTCTCAGCCTGCATACTTCCACCACTGCCCACAATGCGCACCAACTCCTCGATACAAGATATGCTGACTTGGGAAATGCGGAAAAGCTGAAGCACACCTTGAATAGTAAGCTCCGACTGCGTGTTAGAATTCTTGGAAATTGCCTTCATTGTGAATAAACCTGAGCTTTTCAGGGCTGATTGTAGAAGAGTATTAAGTTGTGGGAGGAGTGTGAAGGAACGCTTCGTGGTTAGCGGTCGCACCTTAACACGAACCAGATCCTCCAGAGTTAGCTTCTTTTTGGGATCCCGTAGGTCCTTTCTGTGCTGCTCAACTTCCTCGTCGCTGATAATACTCTCCACTGTCGGTAACGAGTGGTGGAGCCGATCCAACAATACCTCAAGACCTTTAATCTGCATAGAAATACGAGCATCAGACAGAAGCTGATGTAAGCATCTGACAAACGTTGCCTCATTGATACTCGCAAGAACACAAGCTAAAGTATTACCGGAAAGCAGCTCTAGCAACATGGTATAACTCACTTCCTCACTTATAAAGGTATCTTCACCTGATTGAGTAGTATTTTTGCTGCTCTTGGAAATGGTCTGGTTCAAATCACTGTAATGAGAATATAACTCGAGAGCTGAAGCTAGTAAATGCGTGCACGTTTGATTAGTTTGTGAATCTTGGGCAGCATAAGGATCATATAACTCACTATCATGATGGCGTCCTTCAGCATTCTTGTATCCTGTTCTGCCATGTTCACCAGCCCTAGTATTGGAACGACCCGAGTAGTATAGTAACTCGATAAAAGGCTCCAAAAAGGCGTTTGACTTCAAGGTTATGTTGATGACGTTGAGCAGTAACTCCTGACGGTTGATGATTTGGTTGGGTTTTATCATCTTTCGAAAAAAATGAAAGAGTTTATTGCGCTCAGAGTCTTCATTGTGTATATTTTCTCTTCGGCCCGTCGACTCTTCATTATCTGGGTGGCTTTGAGTACTTGAATCCGCGGCAACTGGGACAGAAAGCTGTGCATGTGGATCCATAACCAGACGCATGAGCCCTGAGATGCAGTAGACTTGAGTGTGAATATCAAAACTGGTTATGATCTGTTGGCATACCTCGATAACACTTCGGTACTGAAGTGTCTCAGTAAATTCTACAGGCTCCAGTTTAATCAAAAAGGCCACAAGCGGAATATGCAGGAAAAAGTGCTGCTGGTTCAACGAGTTATTACCAGATGAGTCGAAATTGTGTGCAGAACCAGGCTTTTGTTGTGGCACAAGAAGTGGCGATAAGCCCCTTAGAAACTCTGAGATAATATCCACCTTTGCCTGAGTCCCCTCTCTGACTTCGGTTTCAGTCTCGTTTGCAACTTGGGCCACGTCCTCTTCAAGTTGAGCCCCTGTAGAGGAATGAGGAGAAAGAAGAGACACGATGAGCGCAAGACCTTGCCTCAGAATTATGCTTCTCACCTTGAAGGCACCACGCGGATCATTTTCAGAAAGCGCATGAGCTTGCTCAACGCAGAGAGTGGTATAGTCCTTCAAATAAAGAAGCACCTGCCGTGTATAAACATTCACTACAGCGTGGCGACCCCCAATTGGGGTCGAAACCAAGTCAAACTCCTCGGCCCATTGTGAATCCGGGGAAAGAACAGAGTCCTCATCAAGAAGAGGGCACATGGAGTCGAGAGGAAATTCCTCTAAAATCTTCATAACAATAGACAAAAGAGACTCGTCTGCATCATCATCGCATTGCACTGTTGGCAAAACTTGCAGTAATGTAGAGAGGACTTTGAGTAACAACAAACAATGTTTAGTACAGACCCAACGGCAATCCCTCAGTTGATTAAGCTGGTCCCGGATCAATTCAATGATACACATTGCATCTGAATAATGCAGAGGGTTGCTTAGCGAGCATTCGGACGGCGCTTGCCAGTCGGTTTCCACATTTTGGTGTTGCGAAGTTGATGGCACAAGGATTTTCAGAAGCTCATGAAGCACTTCCAAGCGCGTACCTAAAAAACCCTGTTTCAGTGCTGGCAAGAAAACACGCTCATAACCTCCTTTGGTTCCCACACACAGCCGTGCCACATCGGAACCGATGTGGAGGACGTTGTCGAAAAGAGCCGGTGCTACTAGCGCGGCCAACTCCACTGCGAATTTACTCCTCTTGGATTCAACGTCATCATCCTTCCTCGATTTCAAAGATGACTCTTTGTCTGACTTTTTACGAGTGATGATAAGCACATTCCCTTGGTTTGAGGAAACATCATTTAATCCAGCCTGAAGTGCTACTGACAGAGCAGTAAGTGCATAACGGTATAACGGACGAACCGAAGTGAATTCCGTAGTTGTGTGAAATCTGACATCCCCTCTAATCCGCAGATACGGATATTCTAGAAGTAGCATCCAGAGGCGCACCACAGAATTCTGGGAAAGTTCGAGGATTTCTGAATTGGCTACCTGAACATGAATAACACTACGACAGCAAATGGCCTTAAGGAAATCGGCAGCCACTAATGGCAACTCAAATTCGGTTTGGTTGTCGTTACCACGTTTCTCGGGGCCTTTCTTTGCTTTCCCTTTCCGTGCCCAATGATAGGTACCAGCCCCAACCTGTAGAAGTTGATCTACAACTGGAAGAAGGTTGGGAAAGGGGAACGACGAAAATGACTTTTGGGGTGTGATTTTACGCTTCATAATAGCACTTGCTGAGGGGGCATCGAAAAAGAATTCGAGAACCTTTGTCGCGAGTCTGTATGGTAAGAGTGAAAGTGTTCGCATAGCAGGCTTAGTTATCACTTGATCCGCCTCCCCATGTGACATCGCTGTAAAAATCGCTCCGACCAGTTCAGCAGCACTATCAATCAAACGAAATCGTGACTCTTCTAAAGCCATTGACTCTACCAGGCTGTTAAGCGTCGTCACATTTAAACTAAGCTCCTCAGTAGGCAATGTATCAGAAAAGATTGCGCTTAGAAACAGAAATGCTGAAGACTCTTCCTCGGAAACAGTTCGCTTGAGTTTTTTCACCGCCGCCGCACGCATAATGGAATCCTGTAGTTGCTTCAAAATGGCAGCACGTTGGGATATGGGGACACAAAGTGGTAGGAAAATACACACAGCTAGTGAGTTTAGTATAGAAGTTTTTGACAACATGGTCTCGTTCAAGGGTTCCGCATGCCCCGCTGCACCAAACACGGCATCTCTAACAAGCATACACCAATCCACGGGTAGCTCATTAGGGAACGGCACCATCGACGCGTCCAAAGTTTCCGAAACCTGTCGAAGAGACAGGTCTAAAAGGAATAAGTAGGTTGGTGCAAGTGCCTCCAGATGACCCACCATTGCAGGCAGCGGCGCCTTCAAGTATCCAAGTAGCTGTGTAACTGAACACAAAGCTGACAAATTTGTGTTCATTTTGTACCTGAGAAGTGATCCTACTAACTTCTGCAGTACTAATGAGAATCGCTTCGTAAAGTTGTTGCTTGGAAGACAGCAAGACGAAAGGGGATCTTGAAGTTGACCCCTTCCTACAGCTGCCCTACCTTCACTCAACATCAGGTCTTGGCCCGCATTAAATCGTTGCACTCGCTGTAATATGCCTAAGTAGCCTTGATTGATATTGTCACCGTCACTACCTCCCTGTCGGGAAGAATATTCAAAGACCTTCCGGTTAAACGCGCTGAGAGTGTCTTGGTGGGGAGACCCAATGAAAAATTGAAGAAGATTTTCAGCTGCACCAGGGAGATCCATCATCAAGCTTGCAATTGATACAATGATGAACTCATTCACAGTCATCTCTACCCGCACCTCAGAGGCGGCTTTGTAATTAAGCAGAGACACGATAGCCCTGAAAGTGGTCTCGGATCGCTCTCTGACTTCGATCGCAACGCTCTGCATAACCTCTGGAATTTCAAGTACCCCCAACATCTCATTCAACTCAGAAGTCTGTATATTGTTGAACATTATTTTTTTACTACCACACTCCATATTAAAGTTATTTTTCAGTGTAGAACTGCAAGATGCAAGGGCGTGAATGTTTGCCAGATTAGGGAAGCACTTGAGTAGCATGTCCTCCATAGTTCGCACTAACTTCGCTCGAACCAATTCCGCACTATCCTCTTCGTTAGCAGACTGATGGTGAAGTACTTGACTGGCTGAAGTGAGCGAAATATAGAGCAGAATGGTATAGTAGAATACAGAAGAGTTATAAGACTTCATATTGGTGTTCGGTGGTTGGGTCCCATCCCTCTCTGACTTACTCGCCTTTCCTAGAACAATTTTCGAAGCTGAACCCGATGAGTTCTTCAAATACTCTTCCAGCAAAGGGGTTAAAATCGTGTTGAAGTACTTAGCTTGAACGGTAATATCAATCTGCGCACCCATGATATATAAGGATCGTAGGAGTTTTTTAATAACGATGTCATAGAAGAAAAGCTTATCATTGGGAAGAACTTCTACTCCCCCACATCCACTGTCATCTCGATTCGCCTTATGCAACACGTGCGTCAACTTCTCAAATACTACAGCCGCTGTATTTAGAAAGCGCTCCGCAACTCCGTGATCTGACTCACATTCGGCAACGTGCGCCAGTAATCCCATAAGCGAGCTGTCCGTGATACTTTCATGAGAAATTTCACCAACTCTCGTAGAGCAAAGTTGCTCCGTAGTCATCCCATCAATAACTCCTGCAGCAACCTTCCGAACTTCTGGAAGAGGGTGAAGCAAACAGGCAAATATTGGAAGGCTTTCCGGGATTTCTCTACATGCAGAAGTACGGCCCAAATCCACCATTTGATAACGCGTACCTCCAAGATGTGCTGTAAGGTATCTTATGGATGCCTTAGCCATGCTAGGAGAGCTTAACATCTCTGAAAGTGTAGAATCAAACACGGACTGATAACGCCTCTCCAAAGCGGAGATGATAGTTGTAAGTAGATCTCTCCGTTCCTTGGAGTCTTCCGAAGGTCTACCCGTATCAGCACCGTTCCTATCACCTTCTTTACTGTCTGACGTGCGATCCTGACCCTCCCCTTCAGGGTTGAGGACCTGTCCACAGTGAACGGCCGTGAGGAAGAATTCCTTTACCAGACTCTTACCCAATGGCAGCTCCGTCGCGGCGCATATCAGAAAGCTCCGAACGTCAGCCGGGATCGATGCGATGGAATTCGCCACACGAAGCCGCTCCAGACAGAACCGACTGAGGAAAGTCCAGAGGAAGGGAAAAAGCACCGTTCCGGCCGAGGCGGCATCGGCAAAGGCCTGTGACAAAACTCCGACGCAACGCGACCACGGCAGCGCTAGTAACGCAACGATGTGTGGAGCGAAGCTGATCTCATTCAGCATATGCCTCTGGGACTCCAGAAAGCGGTCCATAAGAAGGAGTAAGTCCAGAAGTGGAACAGAGGCGTTCCCTGCCGCCCCGGTGAGGTCTGGGCTACGAACGAAAATTGACACAATGGGTCGCATGATGGCAGACATCATGGGTTGGGAAAATCGCACCTCCGTGCTCCACGCGGAAAGCACCAGTAAAGAGGTGCCAATCACCTCCCGACTGGGTGCCGCCGTCGGTGAGGAGCTGGGGCCTCCTTGGGATAGAGGAACCCCAGAACCGGTCAGGAACTCAACTTCAAATGGTAAAAGAACACGCCAGATGAACTCAGCATCAGGGTGAGTTGCCAACTCAGTGGCAACACTAGCATAAAGGGCATTCGCCGCGTTATGTGGAATACCTAACCGAACCGGTGCAGACATTGTCATGCAAACCAATCGTAGTACTTTCCGACTTTCCGCACATGCCATGACCAAATGCTCTCGCAACAAGGGCGCGCCATGCTCCTGGTTTGTAGACAAGAAATCGAGACCGGTATCACGGAGATCCAGCAGCAAAAGCGCACGAGCAAAGATATTGTGATCATGATAAGGCAGAAAAGCTCGCAGAACGGTTTCTACATTGTACACATGTACTTCATGCACGCGAACTAGGTATTCAAATACTTGGTGAGCAGCTGTCAGAAACAAGTGAGGGCTGAGCAACGTGAGAAAATGGTCTAAACGTAGGTCAAGCGCCTTACTTTCCTCTGTGTGCAGTAACCTCCGCTCTTGACGTGTTTTTTTAGGATTAAAAAGGTCATCCAGAAAGGGATGAAAGCGGTTATCGATGGTGATAAGCATTTTCAAGCCACTTGCGGCAAGCTGAAGGACTTGCTCACGTGAATAACTTTTGGCATCGCTCTTTGAAAACAAAAAGGAATCCGTGATACGTTTGTCATCCACAGGGCGCTGCTGCAGTTTTTGTAGCTGCGAAATTAGCTGTGATTGCATTGAATACTAGTTTAAAGCAATAATCAATCAATAAAGGTCTTTCGAAAGGATAAAAAAAAAGTATATTAATCTGAAATAAATTAGGTTATTATGAGGGTTAAACGAAAATCGCGTCTCACTGCTAAAATATAAAAAGAAAATCTTTATTAAAAAAACCTGAAAGGGAAGCATAGGCAAATTGCTTTGTACACGCAAACTTTCGCTTTTGAAATGAAGAATGCATTTCAAAAGACAAGAGATCGATAAATATGTCAGATCGACTAAAGAGTAAAGAAGGGTTAAAACACAGTGAAACACTGAGATTCCGCGCAAATAAAAGTAATGAAAAAGTTTATTATTCTTATGAAAGCTAGCTCCTCTATAAAACGACATGGAATAAGTGTGATACTCTCAATTCTTTTTGTCAAGAGGCATATTTTCATAGTTATAAGTGGTAGTTTAGCCATCATTATGGTCAATGCTGCTTTCACTTTCGCTTCCATAACGATTGTCTAAGCATTTTCTACGATGGCGATGCATTTCATTGGATTCAGAATCATCTCGAACTGTGCGTAGAGATTTAATCCGCTCGACTCGCCCAAGCGTTCCCACAGATGAAGTAGAAAAAATACGCTCGATGGGCGTAAATGAGTGCAGTCGAGACCGAAAAGCATATCCCGAGTCCTCATGAGCTACGCTAGAAGAAGTGGAAATAGAGGAAGTCAAACCAGGTGCAGTAAGGCTAGAATTACTTGTAGTAGAAGGAAACAGAATATTGATGCCTTTACGTAGAAACGAATGCCGTTCCGGTCCGTAACCATCGAATAATGAGCCACCAAGAGCCACGCATTGCTTAAGAAAGACACTCTCGAGATCATAGATAGTCTCGTCCACTCGAACTATTTCCTGCTCTAATTCTTCACGCTCTTTGAGAATGGACGTGAGCTCTTGCTGAATCTGTGCAGGAAGCAACCTTAGTTTTATAGTAGTATTCTGTGGTTGCCGCTTAGAAGAATAAGCCAAGCCGCCTTCTGTTGAGGCTGCATTACCACTTTGGTGTGACCTCTTGAGGGGCATTATACATCCCTATTATTATTATACGTACGTATATGCTCTCTTTTATATATTCAAAAGTATCTAATCTATGGAATATTTAGCACAAAACAATTCACTATTTAAAAAAGAAAATCTAACCATATAGTCGAAGTAGAATTAATCTCAGTATTATGCAATGAAAAACTCATAGGCAATATGGATTTAGTATGTCGAGTTGGGTTGTTCAGGATGCTGCAGTAGATAAACATGCTCATGTCTCGATAAAATAAAGAGTTTCTAAACGTGTACATTGTTTTTGAAACTCTAAAGACAAGGTGGAATTGATAAAAAGTGTGAAAAATAATTTGGACAATGAAGAATATCATAAAAATACAAATGAATACTACGATACACCGACAACGATGTAGCAAAATAGAAAATTTATGGAAGCAATCGCCTCAACTGGTTGATTCATGCAACATTTGTATTTTTTCATCAGAATTAGTTTGAACCTGAAAAACTAGCTCATCTTCAAAGGCCTTCAGTATCAAAGTGTTTCCATCTCGGCTCGCCGTCATCCCGTTCTTAAACCCCTGAGCCAATGCTTTTTCAACAACCATGTCAAAGCGATGGCCTAACATACGTGTGGATGAAAACTCACCCCTAAGTTCACCAGTCTTTGCATTGAACATGACACCGCCGTTCATAGTATTAAATACTCTGGCATGTACATAGAGAAAGTTAGGCTTATATCCTTCTTTTAATGATAAAATCCGAGGTCGAGTTCGCTCAACAGACTCGACGTTGTTATGACTAATAAGAACATAGTTGCCAACTAAATCTTGAGACATTAATGAGTATAAAAACTATCCTGAGAAGGGTTACACCTTTTCGTTTTGCAGAATGGAAATTAATGAATGAATTATTCAACTCATAGTGTCTACAAGAAAAAATATATTAAAGTAAATCTCACTCATGACTCGAATGATCACGAACCAGATAATAACTATACATTCTTTTTTTTTCTGATACAAAAAGGCATTCCATAGAAATGATCAATCCATCCTGTCGTCAACTGCACTAGTAAACCACTCGAGCATACCCGTAAAGTCCAAGGTTCTGGTGGAAATGACATCACCACTCCCCGGGGTTCTCACGCGCCCAAAAGAGCATTGCCTTCGTGGATGATTCGATCACCCAACCTCATCCACATATGAAAAACGTCGCTCAGGCACCCGAAGGTTCCCTGTGGTCCCATACTTTTCGATTAGAATAGATAAAAGTCCTCATGTGGCACAGCAGCCGTACGTGCTCGAAAGCGCCACGACGGCCTCTGCACACACCTTACCCTGTCTTGACCCTCTTTGTGGTCAGGATTAGGGCCCATTGGGTTATAACACAGTGAAGGTTCCACCTCAGATGGACTTGACCCATTCCATGGGGTTGAGTTCTGAGCATTGAGTAGCAGCGTTTCACGAGTCTTGGATCCAGTGGAAGAATTCGAAAATAAAAAAAGATCATATGATGAATCCTTTCTGATTAGACGCTCTTCAAGAATACATATCGAACGCCCGGCGGATTTCGTGAACATGGTTGGAGCCCATGCTATGGTCTCAATGACCTTCTCTTCATTCATCCTCATTGGTTTATTGGAAGGTATCAATTTTTCTGCAGAGTTGTCTTCAAAACACACATCACTAGGCTCGTTATGAGGGACTTCAGATAATGAAATATTTACGATACAATGCGACCCTAAGACAGATGACCAAACGCTACCTAAAGGCAAGCTAGTCAATATTTCCTCTTCGCCCTTCTGGAATCCTGATTTTGTGGATTGGGTTGGCGTAGCCGATTCAATGTGAGCCGCACACAAACTCCTAGGAGACTCTGCCGCTGCCTCCTCGCTATTATTACTGCACAAAACAACCGCCCCACCCTCCCCGGCCTTCATCACCCTTGGGGAAGGAAGAAATACTTTGTAGCTTAGCAGAATCAAAAAAAAACACTGAGAGGAAACCGCACCCCTTGGCAGAATTCAGTAGTGAAAATTACTGAGAAATGCGTGAAATAGTAAACCCGCGCACCAGGCAAGGATTTAGATAGAACATGAAATTCAATATGTCAGCATAGTATAGTTTTTTGTTTTTAAAGCTTCTTGTGGTATTAAAAAATAAAGCGTAGTATGGAGCAATTTGGATTTATACTCTATTTTTCAATATCATATACAAGTTTCTTGATATTATTGACAGAAATTTAATTCTTGTCTATTTACTTGCAGTCCACATGTCTTTTCAGGAAAAAATATAATACGAGTGACATATATATTTGCTAATGTACAGATTTATTAGTGATTCCATCACATTTGTTTGACCTACTAGTGAAAAGTCTAAAAAATATAAAACACGAAAATAAGTCTACTTTCGTTAGGCATCATGAAAACGATAAGATATACTGCAAAAAATTATAAAAGTAAAATCACTATCTGAAAGAAAAAAGATCACATCATTTTCGTTTACTTGTGTTCGGCAAACCACTTGATACAGCTGTAGAGAGGATATGTTTTCTTTTTAGTGGATTACTGGATGAGTTCTTCGCATCGATGTTAACATAATAACCTAAATTTTCGTCAAAACAAATACGACAGCGGCAACAACTTTTTTGGGGCCCAGGGTTTTCAAGGAGAGAAGTTCCATTGCGTCCATGATGACATCTATCTATAATACGCTTCTGTTCAGCTTGAAGTATTTTTTGAAAGCGTGCTTTCCTTTTGCGCTCCTTCAGTGCCTTACGCTCGCGTTCAGCTGCCAAGGCAAGCTGCTCGGGGCTATTCATAAATCTCTCATAAGCCAACTGCTCTGCCTCCTTACGTTCATCAGCTTCCTTGCTGAACAACTTATTCCATGCAGCCTCAATTTCTTTCTCAAATAGCCCACGGTCAGTGCGTTCACGGCAAATAATAAAAACGACAGCGGCTCTGAATTGATTTTCTTCGGCTTTTTTCTGTTTAGAACGTTCGACTTCTTCTCTAGCCTTCTCTTCTTGTGATTTTACTTCTTCTTGCCATGCACAACGACCCTCTGCTAGAAGTCTTGCCTCCCATTCTGCGCTTTTAGCTTCCTTGAAGTTCTCACTCCTCTGAAGTCGATTTTGGAGTTTCATAAGTAATTGGCCTGAGGCATCGGCTAGCATGGAAAATTTTGATGATTCTTCCCAAAACCTAGTGTGAATAGCTTGAAATTGTGAAAATGCGACATCATCAATCTCTTCTCTTATAATTCTCTCGTTAATAAAAAAATCACGAAGCTCTATTTTGTTTTTCATTATGATGTAGTCAGATAGGGCTTCCCTCCTATACACCTGCAACTCAGAGTCCCCAAAAAGATCATGGAATCTCGATGGTATATAGCTTGATCTAGTGCAAGAATCGGAATTTTCGAAAGGTGACAAATCACGATATGCTTGTGAGTGCATCACATTCGACACAACTCGACAATCACCGCATACACGATCACTTAGACCTAAACTGTAGTCTGAATGCTCCAATTCCAGCTCGGGTTTTGGATGGCCTTCAAAAATCATACCCTGCTTGTTAAGGCTCGCAAAAGTACATTGGGTCGAATTTGACACAGTGTCGCCCTGCTGTTGTATGACAACTAAGGCTTTAGCCAATGTATCCGCACACATCCCACCACCCGAACTCCCAATAGACACCAACGGATCGATTAATAAGTCCGACACCGGAGGGGATCGAACATGTCCTTCTAAACACAATTGTTGGATTGGTGACGAGCGTGGATGAGGAGGCATATTAAGGCACGTTCACACTTGATCGAACTTTAGGAAGACTTAAAAAATAAGTGGGTGAAGGAGGTGAAGAAAATAAAAGAGTGGCAACGACATGGTTGACGTTCCAAATGAGAATGTAATAACGCACAATTTAAAGGAGACGCGGAGTTAAATCCCTGCAAAATCATTAGTATGTCTAATAATTTTCCCTTAGATATAGTAACCTACTGCAATATCAGTACATTGGGATCAAATGTACAATTAAACCATTTTTTCCATATTAGGCAGAGATGCCGCGTCACATCTGAAAACCTCTAGTATTCCTGCTAGATGCTCCAACTTTTCCTTACGCTCTCCACAAAGCGCATAAACACGAACTAAGTCGCCTAAAAAGGCATCAGATTGCATAATAGTACTTGGGTCTTCCCTCAAATAATGCTCTAATGTGTCCTTTATTTGTGTCAAAAAAGTTTCATCATCCTTGTCTTCATGGCTGCCGTAGAGCAAACTGGTGCAATGTGAGGTTTGGGCGTTGCTCTTGAGCTGCTGAAGAACCACACCACTAAGAGTGTCAACCACTAAACTATCTCTAGTATTAGAATCCGATGTCTGAATTGAACGGTCATTTATATCACTACTCACTTGAAGAGCAAGGAATCGAAAACATTCTGCAGCTTCACCGAATTTTCCAGAAATAATCAATTTAAATCCTTCATTCATATTGATAATGTGTTTATATAGTGTTGCCTCTGCACTGCTCCCATCGACTTCCTCATTGATAATTTTGCTGGGGTTATCAGAGAAGAAAGAGCTAGAAGAGTTTTCGCGGGAGATCATAACTATCATGTCAAATGCCTCCCCAGACATTACGGCATTTCCGCAATGTAAGCACAAACATGCAAATTGCTGTAGAAGAAGAACATATCTAATTCGTTTTGATTGCGACCAACACTTCGTATCTTCTATCATCCTTGATACCATCTCATCCAAATTAATCATTTTTTGAAACGTTTTAATCGCTAATTCGAACTTCCCTGTGCTGTAATAGACATAAATAAGTGCCCTTTGAATCCGTTTTACGCGTTGTTCACATTTTTTCCCAAAACTTTTGGAAGGTAATGAAAATGAATTCAGCGCATATTTATCATGTTCATCCAAAAGTTTATATAACCGTTTCAATGTTTCCATCGGATTTGACATATAAAACGGAATAAGAGAGGAAAGAAAACGAAGCGAGAAAGGTGCTAGGTTTTCGCGTGTAATCGGATCTAAAAAAACATCTCCTTCAATATCACCTAGAGTATCTAAGAGTTTTTTGGCTTCTTCAACTCGCTGCATTTTGAAATAGGAGATAACCTGGACTAATATATAAGGTAATCTAGCCACTAACTCCAACATAGGTTCCGCGGATTGAACCAGATTTCCCTCTTTATTGTGCAAAACACAATGGTGTCTATTCTCTACTGCCGTTTCTTCCAATTTCATAGCCAATGAAACTACTTCAGACCAGTTGCCATTTGCAGCTAAGACTCGTAGGCCATCATCAGTATGTGGGACGTCCGCTTCCGTTATGCACTTCCGGGCTTGCCATCGACGTGGGTCGCCACGGAAGTCGTATCCTAGAAATTTGCATGCTGTTTCAGCTGCTCTATGAGTTGACATCCACAACCGAGTTCGATAGGTGGGATAAAAATGCTATTGACTAATCTTTAGGCTGAATATGATCTATTATAATGACAAAAACAGGAATGAACGTATTCGAAATAATATGTATGAAATTAAATATTGTATATTAAAATGAAACTTGTTCGTATATTATACAAGAAGTAAAGCTATAAATCTAGGAGGATGAATAAAAGTTTAAACATTGTAATGGTTAACGTGAGGTTGCAATTGGAAAATACAACTCAAGCTAGGATTACATGGGATTTTTATTATACAGAAAAATAACCCACAACATGCGCATTGAAAAATGTGATAGAACAGAGTAATTGATCTTTTTTCGGCATTAAATAATAAATTCTGGCACTTGTATGTTCACATTTCAGGGGTAGTAGATTTACTTTAATAGAAATAATGACTTCGACACACTGAAATATAAATCATTGTTTGTTATTAACGATAAAATAAGGCAAGTTAAAGCACAAACATAGTAGAAATATTAATGGAAAATTTTCTACGCGTCTCACAATTCGCAACTAAATTAAAATATAATTACCATGTATTTTTAAGGAACCTGTGTATTAGTTCTTGGAAAGTAATATCAGGTACGTAAACCCAGTGATATCAAATTTTAAAAGTATTTCAAAAAAATACATAAAACATAGTGTATATTAGACCATGCAATCTCTTTCATCCTTACATTTGTTGATACCTTCTCTTTTAAAAGGAAGTTTGTTTTTTACAAAATCAAATGACTTTAGTTAGGTCATGGTTTCTTGAAAAGTTATATAAAAGATTACGTCAAAATGTGGAAAAAGGAAAAATATAATTTGTTGTACTAAGTACACTAATATACAATTTACTGATAATAATGCAAACGCATTAAATAATCCAAATAAACCGTTCCCATTAACTTAATTTATTCCTTAAAAATATGAAATACATCGATGCACGTGCTCTTTTAAAATTCAGAAGCAATAAAGCTTTTTGCTAAATAATGATTTGAATTCAGAGAAAAAAAGCTAACAATGCAGTTATCAGACTCAAAGTAATTTTTGCCATGTCTGATCTTGTTATTAAAAGATTACTATAAAATATCACATGTAATTTAAACACAGACACCACAAACGTTCCATTACATACAAACGTGTAGAGACATTATTATGTTGAAGATATAGAAAAGACACATTGCTTTCCAGTGTAGAGTTGATTAGTGTTATATTCTTCATCGAATATAGTCGACATTCTTTCCGGATCTGGTGAATATTCGCTAGATGTTAGGAAAGGATGTGACAAAAGTTCTTGGGATGTGCTTCGCTTCTCTGGGTCCAGCCTAATGCAGTTGTAAATAAAATCACGAAACAATACATTAGGTGGAACATCCTCAAGGTAAACTGAAGGAGAGGTCATTTCTCCTAAAAGAGAAGCATGATCCATAAACTTTGGTGGACATGCAAAAAATTCACATACTAAACAACCAATGGACCATATATCACACGGTAAAGAGTGTGGCTGACCCTTGTAAACTTCAGGTGCCATGTAGCGAAAGGTCCCCTGGACCCCCCTAGTAGCGCCACCCTGACGCGCCGTACCAAAGTCAGTCAACTTTATTTTCTCCCCTTTGACCAAAATATTCTGAGGTTTGATGTCACGATGCGCGATACCACGGCTGTGTAAATATTCAATAGCAGCCAAAACCTGTTTGATAATTTGTATCACGCTCAACTTTGGTGGCTTTGGATAACGACGAAGAATAACATCAGTCAGCGAGGCATCACATAGCTCCATAAACAGGCTTACATCACTGTCCTTGCGCTCGCAATAAAAATAGTGCACAATATTCGGATGATTGAGACTGCACATTATTTTGATCTCATTAAGTAAATTTGTGCTCAGATCCTCTCGATCAGCACTAAAATAAAACATTTTGACTGCCATCTTCCCTCCAGTCATGTCACTTGTAGCTTCATAGACAGCTCCATATGATCCGCGTCCCAAAAGACGGCCCTTAGTCCAAGGAGAATCATGCCTGAGAGTCAAGATGCGCTCACGCTCTTCATGTACAGTTGCAGCGCTCTTTTTCTCAGACACTACTTTACCTACCTCTATCATCATTTGGAGCAAATCACGAGCAACCATCGGCATGCAAATCGTAAATTTGAACGCATAAGAAAGTGCTATTTCAGAGTCCATAATGGGAATGATAATGGCACCATGATCATTTGTTAAGAGTATTTCCCTAGCAGTGCAAAGCCACTCGCTGTCACAAATCACTACATCTACTTCACAGGGTCGTGCGGTGAGTCTGCACTCTAAATCCGCGCGTTCTTGGACATTTGCCAATGTCACAAACATTGTCTTCAGCAAAATAAGGGAAAGATTGTACTGATCTGCCATATTCTTGATAAGCGTTACAACGTTTACAGTAGAGCTAATGGCTGCCCGAGCTTGAGAAAGATGTACAGCTAGATTTGCCCTCGATATGCCCGAAGTATCATCCAAGATGGTTGCTATCTGGCACGGGAAGCGAAGCTCAACATTTTGACTAGAAAAATAAATGTTAACAAGAGTGTTCTTAAGGAACGGTCTCAATAATTCTTCCACACGTTCAGGACTCCATTTCGGATTACTATCACATGTACGAATTGATACGCTTAAGCTAAAAACATTCCCTGTGGGATTAAGTACTCTAAAACTCACAACACTCCTCTCTTTTATCAAAGTAGACACAGCACGAATCGCCTTAGCATCAAATGGGCTTAAATATAATGTCTGCGGAAATAGTGGATCAACAACAACTTTACATCGACTAAGATTCGTACTGAGACCTTTACCAATGAGTTGCTCTACATTTGTCCACTCCCAGTCGGTGGCCACACCGTGAGAAAGCTCTATTATTGTTTGTACGTAATTGTTCTCAGTAAATTTATGCAAAAAATTCAGTGATACTGCATCTTGAGGAGAAATGGATTTACGTTTGGATATGACGGACAACGACTCACATATTTCGTTGGTCGCATAATCACTGATATAATTCCGATACTCATGCAAGTTATCCTTTGTATTGGTGCAAACAAGAATGTTGCCTATTTCTTTTCTTTCGGAATCAAGGATTGGAGCTACAGCTGTGTAAAGCAACGTTGGCTTCATAGCCAAGGCTCGAAGTTTTAATTTGATCATCTTTTCGCGCGGTGTGCGACGAAGCTCGTCGCATATGCTCTTTTCATTAGAACATTGCACCAACTCAGACAATGGCCTACCAATGCATCCTTTTTCTAGAAAACCAGTAAGCTCCTCGGCAGCAATGTTCCAGCGTGTGATTCGGAAATTCTTATCGTATGCAATCATAACTACTTGCTCATCCAACCGTCTGCTATCAATGTAACCAACACCATTACAATAAGGAATCGTGTAATAAGCCCCCTTTGTATGTTTCCCAGTCACAGTTGTTCCAACATTGTCAGTAGAGATGTCTAGTTGAGTAACAGCATTTTGCTTCTTGAAACTGGGCACCAAAAACTCCTCTGATGTTGGTGTCACACACATCGTGTCAGTATAATTGATTGTGTGTAACTCAACCATCCTCGTATACAGAATATTCAATGACCACACAGAAGAAATGAAGTTTATAAACTGAATACCAGACACTAATAACAAGAGGAAGGCTGTGATGATGCCAATAGGAATTCCAACCCTTATAGGCGGCGTAAAGCATGCAATAATCATCATAATGCATACACATAAGAATACTAGTACGCAATACATTATATTCGTAAAAATAAAAAGCGGAGAGTTCATTGTCATTAGTTCTCGGCTTATCTTCATCCACATCGGAAATACTATGCGTGCGTGGTCTATATGCTCTACACAGTCCTCGGCTAATTGTAAGCATAACCTTTTCCATGAAAGTGCCTCCGGTCCAAGTCCGATCAAATTATCTAGGAACAACATACCAAGACGATTGAGCAATTTCGGAAGCTCTTTATCTAGCTTAGCTTTTTTATTTTTACTATTGATCACACGGAATGAATTATTAGGTATGCGACACAATATTTGAAGCTGCCTTTGAACAGTTAAATACAAAATGCCTGCTTGGGTCCTGTACTCACTGCCTTTACAATCAATGTAAACCGCTTCCAAACTACTAAAAAATTTACTTAAGATTTGAGGCAAATTCGTAATCGTTCGAACTACAAATTCCTTGTCATCCTCTGATGCCAGTATGGGGTGAGGGAGCATTAGAAAGCAAGAATTAATGAAAATCAGCTTACTGGAATCACGATAGACCTAAAAAAAAAAAGCTATATCATATGTTTCTGGTGAATTGAGAGCAACAAGAAATTATAATTACAGAAAACAATTCAAATGAAAGTATAAGTGTTTAAGAGTAACATCATGGAAAAAATAATCTATTTTTGATTCTGCGTGTACCACCGCTGCATCAGTTCCTTTCTTCCTTTTAATACATATACAAGCAAATCCAGGATTCGTCTTAAAAAAATGTTGCATACGCGGAAGAAATATTGGTTTGCAAAATAAATAAATATATAAAGAAAGAGAGAATGGGAAAAAAAAATTGCGCGTAAAGTGCCTATATGAAACTGGTCTTTATTTACATATCACTAGCTTTGGTCGGTTCATGAAGAACTGCATCTGATCTGTTTGTTACCTTTTGCTTTTTTGTATGAAGGGATTTGTTAGCTGAAGACCCACGACCTCGAGGTTTTGAAGGTAATCTCCGACTTCCCGAAGTTGTGCGAACGCCCGGCGATCTTGACTTTTTATGCTTTCGATTTTTATCTTTTTTATTTTTACCTTTTCTCATGGAAGTAGTCAGTAAATAGTCGTGGAGTGTTGCTCTTTTTGAGTTGCTTAATGTACCTCGATGTTGGGGATTCCACCCACCCTTATGTTTTTCCCTTATATGGATCGATGGTCTGGTCTGCATCTCGATAGGAATAGAAGGTCGTCGTTGACCACTTTCAGTGCTGAAACGGCGCACGGCTGGAGTGTTAAAGGCGCTGCTAACAAATAAACATTGCGCCTTACTGGTATCCCGAGCACCGCCGCTCATGGCTGCTTTCAATCCGTATTCCTTTCTGTGGCTGACGTAGTGAGACACCAACGTTTCAACTTTCGAACCAACATTATAAGCGCCATATTCGTACCGAACAACACTATTGTTGGTATACTGTGGTACTACTGCACGCAAAGCATCATCGATTATCGCATCATCTTCAGAACTGGGGTCTTCAACTAGAGAAGTGTGGATATTCGAGCGTCCGACGTTATATTGCTTGCGGCCCTCACGCACTACATGTGGAATATTAGCAAGCAAATCATTGAACTCATGTGAATTAACAGATTGTGCATCCTCCTTATCTTCCTTTATATTTTCGTCTTCATCTTCGTCTTGGGAATAAGTTTCCATGCCACTCACCGTTCTTTCAAATGCTCCCTCTAGGCCAAGCGTATCAAAATCACGCTGATAATCAACAGGATCAGAAAGCCCACGTTTCTCCATTGTAGATATAATATTCTTTACATTTTCGTGGGTCAATGGTTCAGATACATTCACAAGTTCCCAAAGTGTTTCACCACGATTTTTAAATTTTCGAATCATAATAGAAATTACACTTTTGTAATGATCAAAGGAAACCTTAAGTGGGACTAGACATAATGGTATTGAAGATTTAGGCTTGCGGACCATATAATAAGGAATAGGCCCGTTTCCCAGTGTCGAATCCATACTAAAGAGGGTTGCGCTAATGAGAAGTCCGGTGCACATGTTAATTCGTTTGAATGAAATGAACACACCGTCCCCTGCAGCCATCATAACTCCGTTATTCACTGCTACTGTCCCCTCTTGAATAGAATCTTGAGTAATGATTGTTTCCCCTTCTGGTCCACGATATAATTCCTCAACCTCCTGGGCAGCATCCAACAAATCAACGTTGTATGTGCAATAAGCATGTGAAATAGATTCATTACCTATAACCACCGCATGTGGTTTGTGCTGAATTCCTTTATTGTCCGTTGTGTAACGTCCAATAGTTGCGTAGTCGGTTTTGTTTTCTCTGTCTAGAAATAAGCAAACTGAGCTGTCAAAAAACAATGGTGGTTTCACTAAAGAGTTATCATCTTGTTGACTAAGTTGCAAGGTACTGTTTCCCATAATTCCACTGTTTCCAATTGTTTCTATGGCATGGGTCACTCTCCGTGATGCAGACGTATCAAAAGATGTGATATTGCTTAAAACAGAAGTTCGTTTCCTTCGAGTTGGTACGATACAAGGAAGCGAAGAAACAGATTTTGGTTCTAAGCTGCATGGATTTAAAGGTCGAAAAAGAACGATCTCCAATTCCATAATGTGCCGACTAAGTAATAACGAATCGCCAATACATAATACTCTAACGTTGGCATCTGAACGCTTATCAATGCGTACCATTGAAGCTTATAAATGCTTCACTAGCTATTATTTTTTCTTTTGAGTGGAGGGGAGAAGTGATCATTTTTTTACTACAAGGAATGTTTAATCATTTTACTTTTTTTCTTTAGTACTTATTTATACACATTTTTAAAACGTTCAAATAACTGAAATTTTTGCAATACATAAAAATTCAGTCATGCTGCAGACCTGGACTTCGATATTCTCCCTCTTGTAGGAAAGCAGTGGTAACTTAATTATGTGGTAGCACGAAAAAAAACGTTAATAAGCATATATTCGCTTTTCAATATATCTTCAACAAGTTTGCCTCGAAATAGATTTGACAATATTGACCACAAAAGAGAATTTGGTTGAAGAACTTTCTTTTTATTCTGCTCTTTTAAACACTTTTATTTAACATATTTGGTAGATATGTTTGTATTAAAGAGTCAATCATATTAGGATTATAATTTTGATTGATATTTCCTATTGCTTTCAGTTAAACAAAAAAAATGAGTTTTTTATTCGCTGACTAATTAAAAATTGGTAATTTTCTATTCAATGTCAAAAAGAAAATGCAACAATAAGGCACTAAAGAGTAAATTTATATTGGCTACTGCATTTCTTGTTCTCTTGTATCGTGCATTTTCTCATAACATGCTTGAATCAATAAGAACAAGTATGTAGACAAAGAATCTTATACTATCACATTTAAGGATAGCAAGTATACCAATAATAAATCATATTATTACCTAATCTAAAAATGCACTAATCTAATTGCAAATTCAATTATCACTCTTTCAGAAAAGAAACCATGCGTTTAACACAATTTATTGAAAAAATATATAATTATATTCTATTAGACGTAAAACAAAAAATATATATATTGATAAAATATAAAAAATATATACGTTATTATCTTCTTTTATAATGTAGCCTCCTTAATCTTATCAATTAGAAACAGTATAATTACAAGAGTCCAGAATGTCTAGTTAGAAACCTACATCCGATACAAGGACTCCAGCATATTCAATACGTCACAAAGAGTTATTTTTTACTCTATAATATTTAGTACCTAATGAACCCGTCATACCTATCATGGTATTTATGTTTAAGAACCGGGTTTCGAGGGGGAAATCAAGTGACAGTAACACTTTCTATTTTACATAAGTTGAGTCTCAGTGTGATAACAGCAATCAAATCAAGAGTAGGATCCTTTCCGTGAAGTCCCTAAACATGCTTTGCTGGGAACTGACCTTAGAGATGTTACACAGTGCTATTCAGTTAAACAAGCCTGTGATAACTATGAATACTTCCAAGAGAAACCATCCCTGTAGACTATACCACAATTTGGACAACTTCAAGAAATTTAATACTTGAAGGGTGGAAAAGTGAGAACATCAAATGCCATTAAAAAAAACTCAGTTTAATATTATAATATTAATTGTAAGGACCATATTTATGTAGTCTTCCCAAACACAAAATCTTTGCTTTCCTCCGAGACTTTATGACCATAAGATATGCTCTGTTATCTAAAGTAAAATCATTATTACATAGCTGAAATTTGTAGTAAGAGGATGAATACATCGTCAAATTTTGATAAAAGGAATAAGAATAAAGGTATTCTTCTATACGTTGACACTCAGAAGCCTATGAATAATACTAATGGAAAAAAACGCTATGAAAACATTCTAAATTTAAACGTACTCGTTCAATTTTTCTGACGGTAACTAATATAATATTTGAAATAACACAGTATGGTTGTTTCAGAATGATAATAAAAATGAACAAGCCGTGTAAGGAATAATTATTTTTTGATGGATTTTTTCTTTCAAGATGCTAAGTAGTACGTAAACATGTTTCTTTTCTGAAAAGTAGTAGGTAAGCTTTTTTGAATCATGATAAAACGCAAAAGCGGATAAATAAATATAACATTATTCTTATAGAAGAATATCTACTTTGAGATTGAAATCATAAAAATCAAAGGCATAAAAAGGTTTGATATATACATAAGTGTAATTCAGATTAAAATAAATAAACTTTCGTTCAAAGCATTTCTTCCCTCCCTCCTCCCTATATGAGATGTGTATGTTAAAATTCACACCCAAAAGTGAAATGATGATCTCACTAGAAAAGATTATTCCAGTCATGCTAACTGATGAATCGAGCGGGGTAGAAAAATAACAACTATCAAAAACTGAAATGTATTTCTTCATAGTTACATAAGAAAGAGTAACATATCATAATACCATTCTGAGAGTTTCGTCATTTTAGATATTTCCTCTATGTGCATAAAAGAAATATACCTAAGGTAAACTTCACCAATCTAGTATGCACATTCTATCTACAAGGTTTCGATAAAAATAAAATAGATATATTTCTAACAATATTAAAAGCTTAGATTACAAAATGATCTACTAGAAATAAACCTATTTTCTTCTAAAATCCATAGTGTCGGGAAATCTGTTCCGATAATCAGAAAATGATGAAAAAGTAAAATTGACCTTTCACATAAGCAATATGCTCAGGGGAAAAAGAGAGAGCTATATATATGGATTGATGAATATCGTTTTGGGTGAAATGGTAAAATATATATAAACATGACTTTTAATAAAGTTCTCCTAATAAATAAACGTAAACATTACCAACATAAGGTTATTTATGCACAAAATATTTCATTTTGGGGGAAAAAAAACTTACAAAGGACAATTAAATCAAAAAAGATTAAAGGAAAAACTTCTAGAAGCAGCATTTCATTCCTAAGCACCAGGTTAAATGTTGATATCTCGATTTTTGGGTCCTATAATTAAGCTGGCACAGCAGACGATCGTAAGATAAAACGCACTCCTACCTTGACCGAAAATCATTACCACAAAGTATACTAACCTTTTACTTTTTCAAAAATGCATTTCAATAAGTTATGGAAAACTGTAGGCTGGCTGGGAGGTCTCATGAAAAAAATACCACACCACCGCCCTGTTAAGTAGAAGTTTTAATAATAACATCACCCATAAGATGCGTTATCAATCCCACTGGTAAAACAAAACAATGATCCTATTTAAATAAAACAAGAGGCACATAAAAATAACCTAGAAAATGCAACAAAAAAAAAAGCCTCTCACACAGCAGCCAATTTCACCTATTACCAAAATTTATAGCGCCGAACCCGGATTCGCATTTTTTAATTATCCCACAAAAGGGCGAATTCCCCACACAAAAAAATCACCCTCAATCTTTTATGGCGGCCTGTAAACCAAAATATTTCTAAGTTATGAACCGGGGTTCTGCGCCAGAAATGGCTTGAAAAGGGAGAATTTGCCAATAGAGTGTGGAATATTTCTTAAAGAAGCCATTCTGGAATAAGTGCATTTCATGAATTGGAATATTCGGGGCATCCAAAAGCCCCCGCTCGCCGAATAACTGTTTCAATTCATACCCATAGAAAAGTTTGATATCTTTATGTTTTAAAATAATACCATATTAGAAAATTTTTAGGTCTTTGAAATTTTTGCACGACCTCAGATTAAACCTGCTTAAGTTAGGAATGTTCATACCAAATAACCCTTTTTGTTTTATAAAACGATTGATAGCCACAATGCCTCGCAGTCAATGGCCCTAAATCAATCACCCCAGGGGATATGGTGTTCATTTTGCCAACCCACACAAATAAATGTAATATACTTGAGTTTGCCCAACTTCCAAACAAGCTTTTTCAACCGATGAGTTGAGAAAGCGTGATATAAAAATATCTTTTCTCTGCAAAATAAATATTCGCAAACAGAATGATTTATAATATTTAAAATAAAAAAATTTAAAATATCTTTACTCTGAAAAATGGCAATTTATAAAATTATGACTGTCGATTTATTTCAAAAAAACGACTACAATTTAATTTTGATTTATAGCATCAAAGGTGATTTTTAAAATTCCCATCCCGCTGGCCATAAAATATTTTAGCTTTAAAGGAGAAAGTAAGACGTAAAGCCTGATAAAAACTCAACCCCGATGGTTACACAAGACGCCTTCTAAAGGAAGCTTAAAAATTCAACCGTTAGGTTCTTATCAAATTATAGTTGTTATATATCTAATATTTCAATTTAATCATTTAGAAACGGATCCCCAAACCCCAATAACTTGGCCATCTTGAATCCATTATCACCACCATGAGAGCATAGGTTGACACCCATTACCAAGAACCTGTTCGATTCTTGTTCAAAAAACATTCAACATCAATGAATAATATTTTCCACCATTTGTTCGTAGTCATTTGAATTGGTATTACTTCAATGTTTAGATTTATCTTTCCATTTCGTTTGTAATGGTGTAAGTTGTATATTAATAATCCTTTCATAGGATTGGGGTTGGTTGGCCTTTCTTTTCCCCATGATGCAACATTAAT